GGCCTGGGAAGTTGTCTCACTAACCAGGCAATCTCCAATGTCCGGATCGGATGCGGGAACAACTTTACTATTTTCCCAATTATTCAGTTTTTTGCTTTTACATTGCACTAGATAAGCAACAGTGTGTGTCTGGTTGTGTGTGTGTGTAGTGTGTGCTTTTATTTAATTCAAACATAGAGATGCCATAAAACACAATTTATACACCCACCTGTCAGAAAATCAAGTCTCATTATCTGTTTACATCGGAGTGAAATATGCTTACCGTATTTCCCAAATATTCACCTTAGCAAAATACAGAATGGCGTGTGATTGTAATTAGAAAACTAAAATTTTACCTGTAGGAGCTGTTTAGGCCTTCTTTGCATCTATTTGTTTATTAATTTAGGTAAACTCTTTGAAGAGCAGTCTAGGTATCACCGCACAGGATGTATCAAATGTCTTTCTGGTTTTTTTCTTTTGCATTCCTAAATTCTTGACATCAGCATGTATTTGTGCAAACAGGAGCAGGAAGACTATTTCCAAGTCAAGACACTCTCTTTCTAACCTTAGCTGCCTTTCTTAATGTATAGGAATTGTCATAAGCGTGTGAATATCTTTTTGAGGTCTTTAATCTTTAATCTAAAATGGGGGCTCTCATGACCTAGATAAGAGGTTAAGGTGTTCGCCTCTCATTCAAAGGTCCGGGGTTCGAATCCAGGTAGCGACGTAAAAATTTTCTTCACTAAACTTGTCTCCTTTCATCTCCTTTCCTGCTCTACAATGTTCTGTCATCTGCTTTTGTCTCCACTTTCTGCTCCCATCCCCGGGCTCCTGAATCTTTCTGCAGCCTTTCTACTGTTTCTCCTTGGCTCCTTCTTACTGCTGTCTGTCAGTCACACCCCTTGTCTTCTGGTAGGAAAGATCAACACCTAGCCTTCTCGGACAAGGGCAAAAAATCTTGGAGGTCCCATGAGCAAGTTGTGCACATTAAAGATTCCTTGGTGGTCTATACTCGCTAAGAGTAGGCTTCGGCCGCCACCCAGGCAAAATTCAAAATTTCCAACCGACTGAAAATGGTTAATGTGTCGTGCGAGCTCATATGACCTTATGCAGTTGTGAGCGCTGCATAACATTTACAAAAACAAACAAAAACGTAGTCTAAAATATATAAAAATTATGATGGCAGGATTTTAACGAAGAATCTTTTCATTAAACGGAAGTAGAGCCAGTGCACATAAATTGACTTAAAAGACTAAACTGCAACTTTCGCGTCTGCATTTTGTACTTGCAACACATTTCGGCCATATAAGTGCAGAATATTAGAGGTGTGACATGAGAGTAACAAACGAAAAAAAGAAGGAGAGATTTAAAAGATGACAGATATTTAATTTTGAAAGGAAAGAAGGAGCAAACCACCTCAGAGCACCTGCCAATCACCCACTACACACACACACAAAAACTCTGGCATGCTCCTGGCTCAGTAGGTCAAAAACTGGACAACAGAAACTTGGCCACAGTATTCACACCTGAGTGAAAACTTCAATTGTTTGCAGAATTTGTATTTATACTTGCCAATGTTTAATCTAAAATAGAAATTGAAATTGATTTAGAGCTTTTGTCTTGCAAATTGTCTAAACAGGGTAAAATTTACTTAAAGTTTAGTTAGTTTTGTAGAGGTTTTACGGCGCTTGCAACTGCATAAGGTCATATGAGCGCCAGAAATTTACTTAAACGAGTATCAAAGTGTAAAACTCAGTAATCATTATCAATGACCTTACTGAGTACCCAGTAAAAGGTGTTATTTGTACTCATGTATTCTTTCCTTTAGAAGGCTCATCTTTTCACAACTCCATTAGCTTCATTGTGTACAAGTTGGCCACCCTATGTCACAAATGTTTGAATGATAATGCACCATCATATTTATCAAATCTGTTAAGACTGTACATTCCAACTCGCAGTTTAAGGTCATCATCTGACAAAAAGAAATTTATTTTACCATCTATGAAACTTAAAAGAATGGGTGAAAGGGCATTTGAATACCAAGGCCCCAAGATCTGGAATGCTTTACCAAGTACTTTGAGAGAGATCAAATCTTTTGATTCATTCAAATGTCAGCTGAAGTCATTTCTGTTTTTAAATTAATAAGATGAATATTTGGAATAATTTTCTTTAGTCAGAACACAACGTTTTATGTTACTGTTGTATGTTGTACTGTATTGTAAAGCTCAGAGCTTGTGTACTTTATTCGGGGTTGAGCACTATATAAATGTCATTTATTATTATTATTTCAATTTTTCAATCTAAGTCCCCTAAGTAAGGACATATCGTAGGAACACAAACATCTGAGGCAAATGAGTAGGAATCATAATATCCTTTATTCACATAATGATTATACAGAGATTCAAAAGTAAAGAAAAAAAGTGTTCATCAAGGCATCAAGATCTTACCAACAAATGAATATATATATATATATGTATGTACATATTAATATTATACATAATTTTGTTCTACCAGAAAGTGTAAATAGAATAATAATTTAACCTAAGAATAAGAAAATTGTAAAAAGGACAATTTATTGAAAGTGCTTTTCGTGAAGACATGATACAACATAATATGGGAAGAAGATGACAAGTGAATGTGAGTCTAAGATGTTTGTTTGTTTTTTTGTTATTTGGATTTATAAGGGCCGGGTCACACATTCAAAGTGATATCAAATAAAAAAGCACTGTTAGGCTTTACTTTGAGTTCGAGTAAAGAGAAGTATATTGACCAGACAACAGTTATTTAGTGCAGGGAAAAGCAAGATCGACAAACAGGAACACAAGAGGGCGACAGAACTAAGACCTTCCACACCAGTGGCGCCCTCCATGACCCTCCAACCAAGAAAAATGTGAGCAGTAGTTCCAAATGAAAGTATGATTTTTTACTTAATCAAATCAGTTTGCTTTTACGGAGGGGGGGGGGGGGACAACAAACACTGTCAAAATTGGTTTAGATGCTGAAATATTTTTACACTTCACTTAGTGGTAGCACAGTCAACAGCACTCTCCTAGTCCTAGCCCAAAAAATACCAGGCAATGGTTCCCTTGTGAACAAACAATACTTTGTCAACGCACATATTCACGGTATTCTTAGAATTCTACCAATGTAACATTTATGATTTAAGTGGTCATCAAGACTCTCACAATACAATCAACATAACAACTGAATTCAGAATGTTCTTCAAGTGTGTGAGTGTGAGAACAGAAAGGGAAAAAAGGAACAACAAAATCACAGCCCACAGAAGTAGAAAAGAGACGAAATGCCTGTCCTCCAAAGACCCATCTCATAAAGACATGAAATCTGTATTCACATCATGTACATAATTCACACTGAAATCTGAGCAAACACTCAGGAAGCCATACATGTGAATATATATAAAGAAAGATGTTATTCAGTAAGTGAGAGGATTTTTGTTTTAATTAAAAACTCTACATCCCTCATTTTATTTTATTTTTAAAAACCAAGTCACTGTTTCGCTTTAAGCAGAATCAAAAATCAGTATCGAGATGGATTATGTTGGAAGCTCAGGATTTTTCCAAAAGCTGTGTACATCCTTGATAGAGCATGCATAGGGCTCATGAGACATGCTCTCTTCAAAATAAAACTTTGCCAAAGCTTGAGATGAAAGTCTGCACCTCATTCTTCAGCGACAACAATATGTAAGTGTAAGTAGTAAAGAGTACAACCTGCAAATAGGGGAGTCTGACAGAAAGTACAGGGTTCACAGAATCATCATCAAAACTCACCAAAATCACATCAAGCTTTCCTTACCTTTATTTTAAAAATGGAAAAGTATTGAGATTGTTTGTGGTTATTTCAAACGCTCAAACTCTGGTGACCGCTGGACGGAGACAGTACACTGTAAGTTATGACTAGGACTAGGAGAAAAAAGCAACACTACAATTTAGGAAAACTTTTTGATAACACTAACAAGCATCTTCTTTTGCACAACTTGCTACACTGCTATGCATAAGTTTGAGTTTGAGTTTGAGGAACATACTGTTAGCTTCATGAGAAGGAGGTATTGTTGGCTTTCGAGTGTGGCATAAGGAAATATCAAGTCATTCTCTAAGGTAAACTACTTAAAAACGACTGTAAAAAAACACAGTTAGAAAAAGTACAGTGCAGACTTTTGTAAACTATGAATAGAACCCCAGTACATAAGTAGCTGCCCTCACCACAACATGATAAAAGAAGGCAGATTGCAACAATAGGACAAATAACAACCATGATCATTTGAGGAACTACAGTGGAATCCTGTTATAACGAGAGGGAGGGGACTGGAGCAAAATGTCCGCTATAGCAGGATTCTCGCTATAAGGGATCCAGTAATAAATTCAAGGGAAACTGTAAAGTAGGCCTAATCTATGATGGTGTTCTGTTTATTTCCTTTTGCAATCTCCCCTGATGATGATTTTGTTTCAACATGACCTCTAGGTCTTACTTGATCAAAACTCGAATCAGGGTTCTTTCTCAAGCGTTAGATCTAGCGATGTTGACTGACAGTTCGGCGTTGGCGATCAGAAAGAAAGGGCTCTTGGATAACTCACCCGCTGTGTTTTCCCCCACCCCACCACACCCTGTGGTGCATTCCGTCAGTTTGCGCATGTCACACATTCACTCCATCCATCACTCCATCCCCGCATTGGAGAAGTGAGAGGCATGGTAGGCCTTGATAATCTAAACTAGGCTTACGCCGGCCTTTCACGCGATGTGTTCTGTTTGTCTGCGCATGCCACACCCTCCCTACTCAGTTGCTCCGGCCTTCATTGTTGACACACGTGGGCTCTCCCATTCTTTCTTTCGCTTGATCACCAACACGTTTCTCAACTTGCGAGGTTTTACATTATGTATAATTGGCCCATGCGCTGTGCACAGCAGCAGCAATATTCCGCTATAACCGACTCGCATGTTTGTCTGATTGCGCTATAGCAGTATTTTATTTACAAAGGTAAAGAAAAAAACAAAACGGGGTTTTAGAATAGTGTCTTTATAACAGACTTCTTGTTTTTTCCGGACTCGTTATAAGTGGACTCCACTGTACAACTTACTAGCAAATGCTTCCCAATAAATCAAACTATAACAAATACTATGGGCATAGCATGTCACAACAAAAAAGAAACAAAGCATTTTGACTTTTTAAACATAAGTACTTGCTGTATCAAATACGAACAATACATAATAACTTGTGCAGAAATGAGCGTTACCCAAGTGAACATCTATATTGAACTAAATGAAAGAGACAAATCACACCACTTACGTCAAACAGGTGAAAAAATGAGTACAAAACACAAACACTCTCCCCTCTTTCCTGCTGAAAAAAGATACAGCCAGTAAATAGCTATCTTAACAGCATTTTTTTGAGGGTGCATTTATTATGTAAAAGAGATGGAGGGGGCGGGGGTGCAGCTACAACTCAGTAAACACAGAGGGGATTTTTCTAATCCCCTTTACCTATTTGTTCTCGTCCTCTTTCCGTTGCTCTGCTAGATTTCAGGAGTACTGAACTGCTAGTTCTCCAAAGCGCAGGGAACTGATTTCTATGTATGTGGTCGTTCCTCCTACTTATTAGGGCCCCTTGCCTTCAGGCAAGCCACATTCTGATTTCAAAGGTATTCTATAATATATTTTTATACAGACTAGTTTTGGTAGGATTGAATTTTGCACAGCTGGCGGCCGAAGCCAACTCTCATCGATTTTAGGACTTCTAAGGGATCTTTAACAGGTGTAGCTTGCACACAGGACAGCAGTAATTTTTCATCCTTATCCGAGAAGGATAAGTGTTAGATATTACCTACCCCAAGATCAGGGGTGTTGTTGAAAGACAGCAGTTAGAAGGAGCAAGAAGTAGCAGTAGAAAGAGTCAGGAGCAAAGGAGAGAGGAGCCCACAAGAGGGAGCTGAGGCTGAAAGTAGATGACAGAACAAGCCAAGAGAACAGGAAAGGAGGTGAAAGGAGAGTAAATTTTAGACAAGAAAATATTTTGTCGCTGTCAGATTTCGAGCGCGGGATCTTTCAATGAGAAGCGAACACCATATTTCCAGACCATGGGAGCCTCCTATGTGTTCTTATGACGTAAGAAAAAATTGAAACATTAAGATAAAGGCAATCACTGAGAAAACGTGAGTCTTCAATGATAAAGTGAACTGAAACTCAAAGTCAACCAGGGTGGCTATATGAACCTGATACAAAAAAATGTTTCCCCTCCAGGAAACGGAAAAAATGGCAAAGTACATCAACTCATAATCATGAAATATATCTTGTGTAATCATAAATAGTGTGCCCAATAGACTACTAAACTGGCAATTAAGTAAGTTTATTCACATTCCATATTTCACCCTATTACCTTATTCATACTAAAAATTCAAGACAACACAGACAAGTTGAACTTAAAGACTACAATGACTATTTTGTTCCTAATGCATTTTATTACCCTTAAAAAAATATCAAAGTTTCAGTACACTGGTCCCTCTGTAGAAATCAGAAAATCTAAATAAAATTATGTGTATTACAAAAGAATATATATTAAGATATACATGACCATGCTGCTACAATTACAAAGCATACAACTATTATAAAATGAAAACTTTTATGTATTGGACATTGATCTTCTGCCTCATTGTACTTGAAATCCTGATTTACTTTTCGAAATATAATAATAAATATGACTGATTCTCTGTACTTTGACTTTGAGAAAAAAGTTGAGCAATCAATGCGAGGTTCTATTTTTGTTCAACATCAGACCAAATAACAGAGGGTAAGCACATTTCCTTCATCTGAAAGCTGAATTCATCAGATGCAATAAAATGAAATTTGTAAAATTCCTATACTGAATAGCTATGATAAATTATAACTACTCACTGCTAATCAACATGCACCACCAAACAGCCACCTCTATGTACCGCACGAATCGGAGATGAACGAGGAATGACTGCCCGTGCCGACACAGCTCTTTCATACTCCTTTGGCTCGTAGGCTTGGAACTGCTTCTGGTACTCTGACCTCAAGTCCAACTGCTCCCGCGGACTGACAGATGACAATTTGTCCATCAGAGCTGCTTTATTCTTAGCCAACTCTTTACGCTCTCTGTACTTCCTCCGTTCCTCTTCACGTCTTATCTTTGCTTTCAGAGCAGCGCCATAAACCTGGGAAAAAAGATAATTAGCACATCTATGATGAACATCTTTACTCTCAGCAAATACAGGCTTCTTTTTCTTCTCTTTCTCTGGGTTCCGGTTCCCCTGCTAGATCTCAGCGGTGGTCGACTGTTGATTCTTCAAGCTCCAGTGCAACTGATTTTTATGTATGTGACCATTTTTTCCTTCTTTGTAGAGCCCCTTGCCCTCAGGCTGCCACATTCCAATTTCAAAGGTACTCCATTTTCATACTGACTAGAGCATTATCTGTTTTGGTATGAATCAATTTTGAGTTTTTGCGTGGGTGGACGCCATGGCCTAGTCTTGTTTATCGATTTTAGGATCTTTAACATGCGTAACTGGCAAGTGGGACCTCCCATATTTTTCTGCCTTATCCGAGAAGGCTCGATGTGTGATCTTACCACCATAAGATCAAGGTTGTGGCTGAAAACAGCAGTATGAAGGTGTTAGGAATAGCAGTAGAAAGAGTCACGAGTGAAGGAGAGAGAAGCAAAGAGGAGGTCAGGGGAGGGGGGGGGGGGGGGGGGGGGGGGGGGGGTGGAGATAAAAGATAATAACAGAACAGGCTTAGAGGACAAGAAAGGAGGTCCAAGAAAAACATTTTTAGAGAAGAAGTATTTTATGTGACTGTCAAGTTTTGATCTCGGGATCTTCTGAATGAGAGGCGAACATCGTACCTATAAACCACAAGAGCCGCAAACACAGACTAATCCATTAACTTTCAATCAATCAACATCCATTTGACTAACTCAATAAACTTGAACTACAATAGCATCTTACACAGAAGTCATTGGAGGACAGTCTGGTAAAAGTATATGTCCCAAACTGAAATAAAACAGCTGATTCATGAAAAACAGCATATCTTAAAATAACATGTACTTTGAAAGAGACAAAAATAAGCTGGTGGTTGAATTGCATTGATGGCAGCACCTACTGCTCTTTTCTTCCTCTTTTGTTATTATCTATAAGTCTTACTTTCTCCCTGAATTATATGACGTTTACTTTGTTGATGTCCTCTTTCCATTTTGTTTAGTTCTTTTTGGTAAGTATTTCACGGCGCTCACAACTGCATAAGGTCAAAGTGTGCGGGACACATTAAACATTTTTCAGTTGGTAGGACATTTTGAATTGTGCCTGGGTGACGGCAGAAGCCTACTATTATCGATTTTGGACGGCCAAAAGATCTTTAACAAGCACAACTTGCACACGGGACCTCCAAGATTTTTCACACTTGCCCAGGAAGGCCAGGTGTAGACCTTGCCTACCATACGATCAGGGGTGTGGCTGAAAGATAGCAGTAACAAGGAGCCAAGAGTAGCAGTAGAAAGGCCGCAGAAAGAGTCAGGAGCCTAGAGGGGCAAAGAAGACAAGGGGTGGGGCAGAAAGTGGAGACGAAAGTAGACGAAAAATATTGCTACAGAGCAGGAAAGGAGATGAAAGGAGACAATTTTAGAGAGGAAAAATGTCCCTCGGTATCTGGATTCTAACCCACGACCTATTGAATGAGAGGCAAACACCTTAACCTCTCATTCCTCAGACTCGATAAGCAAAAAAAAAGAAATTATGAATGAGTTATCTATAGCTATAGAAATAAAGCTAAAAACATTACAACTGTACAACGGTACCATAACAGTACCATAACAGTAACAGTGAGTGTACCCACATAAAAATGTAGCACATTACACAATATTCCAGGTTTCATTCATGACAATTTTTTTTCACAAACTTCCTTTAGTTCTATGATAAGTTTGATCCCCAGAGGCAAGGCTAGTAAAAGTATAATAGATCACACAAACACAAAAAAACAAACTTATCAGTTTTACAGATTAATCTAAATTATGAGACCATCAAAAATAATCCTGAATCAATTCAATATAATGAGTAAAGAGCTTACTTCATTAAAAAGAGCAAGTAAAACCACTGTGTACAGAGAAGTCTGCACAACTGATATCTGTCTGCTTCTTTAACTCCTTATCTCCGCCAAGCCACTCCCAGAGGCTCGTGGTCGGAGTCACAGTGACAGTGAGCCCCTGCTAGCGAGTTGGACACATTCCTTTACGATGACTTTGATGTTAAACTATTTTTCGACAATTGCCAAAAAACTGGTCTTTTTTACTAGGAGTTTATCTATTAGATGAAGAACTATCAAAATAGATTAACTTGTTCTGATTTAATGACCAACTTAGTGACAAGAGAGGGCTCCGGCATAGTGGGTTTTACCACCCTCAGAGATAAAGAATGAACTTTAAGATAAATTTGAGAAAACTAAGCACTGCATCACAGAAGGAATAAGAGTGAGTAAGAAGTTATATCAACAGGTCCATAAATAGTTATTAAACATATCTAGAGTACAGGTCCAGCTTACATTTGCAGGTGCCCGAACATTGTGTGTTCTGTGAAGAGCAAGGTTGTCTTCCATGTCCCCAGCTCCATAGGTGATGAACGGAGGTCTCTCTCCAACAGATGATGCCGCAGACTTTGGTCTTGACTTGGCACTAGGGATACGAGCCTGTCGGTCTGGCCGACGTATTCTTGCTGGTAAAGGAAGCGGAGGGACAGGTGACTCATGCTTAGAGCTGTAATCAGAACTTCTACTCGGCTGTGCTGAGGACAAAAGCAAAATAACACAAAAATAAATTTGATGAAAGACAGATGCAGTAATCTTTAATGAAACAAATCAGGATATCGCCACATCACAATAGAAACTGATTAAGTACTGCTCATCCTCCTTTGCCACTAGTTTGTCATGCTTCTCTCTGTTCTTTCTGTCTGCCTGTCTTACTTTTTCCCATGCACTGGATGATCACTACTATTTCAATATGCTTCTCTTTACTCAAAACACAAAAATGTCCTTTGCAACCTTTCAAATGTCTCTCTTTGCAAATAAAACTTAATCGCACTTTGTATGCATGGTTCCTTCAAGTAAAGTTATAAATTTTTGCAACTAATTATGCTTCAATTTTCAATGGGGAAAATACTGAGGAACAAATTCTTATTAACCACAAACTTCATCACCATGGTCAGTATACAATTGTTCAGTCATTTTTATCAGGCTTCATTGTGCGACTCTCATTGTGTACCTGCTAAATTAGGTGAAACAACTTTTGAGAAATGTAATTTATTTCTTATTCGTGTCCAGAATTGCTCAACATTTTGTGAAGAAAGATCTTTTACCAATCATAGAATTACCAAATGTAATTATGGTCATGAATAACAAAAAACTACTGGAAAATAACTCCTACTCCAACTCCAACCACAAATAAAAGGTTACTAAATTTCCAAATGGATAAACATAATACTATAAAAATAGAGATAATAAAAACACTTGGAAAATCAACTCAATTAACAATGAAAACAAAACAGAATATAAAATGAAAAGAATTAGTAGGATTCCAAAATCAGACATAAAAATATTATAAGACAACAAAGGAAAGAAACACAACACAGTGCCATTTTAGATGAAGATTGACCATAATGTTTATGGTTTAGTTGACAGTCTACCGCCAGACCGGTCTGACAACTGGTTTAGTTGAAGGTCAGTCACGATGTCTCTGGCTTATTCAGGCTAGGGCTATACAAAAAATAATGACCCTGGTCAATCAGGCGGACTTATAATTGACTGCCGTAGGGTAGTGGACCTTCAACCAAAGCAGCACCCATAACACACCTGTAAAGTCTTGAATGTATAACAAACTGTTGCATAAGTCTTCATAAGGGAAATACCTTTGCTACGTGACTCAAAAGAAGTTCGGGGACAGTCAGCAGCTTTCCCCTTGTGGACCACTCTTGACCCTCTGCTTCTCTTCTTTACAAATGTTCGCTTTCTCAGATTGGAGTCATTTTCTATTTCTGCTTGCACTTTTTCATCCCCTTCAGTATCCGACTCATCAGTAATGTCAGCAATGATCTTTCCTTTTGAGAGAGCATATGTCTTTGTAAGTTTTTCATTTAGCTTACGATTTTCATCATCGACAATATCATAAATTGAGAGAGACTTGTCCCCAATGTCCTTTTTATGCCCTTTTAAGTTCTCCTCTGCGGTTCTAGACAGCTTTTTCTCCTGAAGGTCGCCTTCTTTACAATCTAAAGAAAGCTTTTCGAAACTGGGAATTTCTGTTTGTACAACCGTTTTCTCTGAAGACCTCTTGTGTTTGAAAGCATCCGCTTTTTGTCTAGAATCTGCCAGAATCTCCGCTATGGACTGATACTGAGGCTCAGCCTCTGTGTGTTTCTCCTCTGGTGCTGTTCTCGGCTTGTCGTCCTCATTGCTGTCTGATGTGGTGTGGTCTGTTTCATCACTCAGCTCTCCCCAACAAATAGGGGTGTGTACAAATTCTCTGTCACGTCTCTGATGGCGAAGGTTCAGGTTTTCCAAGTAGATTGCCTGATGTTTTCGAACGACAGAGGACCTGAACTGATTCTGATATTCTGACTTTTTTGCCACCATGATGAAGTGCAAGTACCTGGAACAAAAACAAGAACATCAACATTATTTTTCATTATATCTTAAGCGCAAATCCCAATAAATATCCTCCCACAGAATTAAAATTGCAAAATTAAGATGCATGGTCAGGATACAGTTTTCATCAAACGGGGTAGAGGAATGATGATGCAGAGAAAGTAGGAGGTGGGTTTGTTGTTGTTTTTTCGGGAGGGGGGGGGAGGGTATTGTCTCTAAATGGACACATGAAGATTCAAAGAGGTTGCTAGGTTGCAAGTTTGCAATGGCAAAAATCACTGCAATTTGAGTACATCCACAATTGCTTCCCCCTCACTTTAGAATCTAAGAAAAAAGTTAGTGCTCCTACTATTGATTGCTTAAAGCTATGTGGTTCACTATGTTATCTTTTATAAATTTTTACTTTCACCCCTGTACACAGATGCACTGCTTGGGGGTCAAAGGGTTGTATTTTTAAAAAAATTGCAGCTGATCACACATATGGCCAGTAAGATAGTCGCAAATCAAATATTTTCAAGAATATTTCAAATCCAATTATGCAGCAAAACATAAAATTGAGAGAAAAAACCCAACGGGCATACCCCATGTATTATAAACACCCAGATTTGTTTTAAAATCTAGGAGAGCGTGCCCCCTGAATTGGTCCAAAGAGCAGAAATTATTATGTAACTAGGCTTATATATTTGAACTGTACCGTATTAATAATTAATACAGCTCGAATACAAAACAATGGAATTATTTTAAAAATTAGTCATTTACGACAGAATTTAAGTAAAATGGATAAAAATGAACAAGAAAAGTACTATCTATACAATACTGGAGCATGAGTTGGGAGTGAAAGTTCAATAAATTTATAATACCTATCTTCTCTCTCCTTTTCACTACCCATGGGTTCCAAAAAACAATTTTCTCCAACATTTTTTTAGCCAAGAGTGCCAGCACTTCAGTCTTCTCAATCACTGTACATTCATTAAACTAAATTTTCACCTCAAACAAATTATATCATACCACTGACTGTGACAGTGATGGCCTATTGAGTCTTGACGATAAGCAGCATGCAAGATACAGCTTCGCCTAGGCCATAGACATAGAAAAAGTAGATTGCCCAAGCACCGTTTCTGCCCTCCCTTCAGATCTTGACTTCCTTTATATGCTCTGAAGGAATCAGTACATTTGGAATCACAGAAGGTGATAGGGTGTGTTTGTTACTTCTTCTAACTCTGCTTGATCTCAGAGTAGTCGGCTACTGGTTTTTCAACCTGCAGTGCAACTGATTTTTATGTGCGTGTCTGTTTTCCCTTCTACTTAATAAGGCCCTTGGTTTAGGTCAGGCAGCCGCATTCCGATTTTGAAGGCACTCTACGCATTTCTATACTGACTAGGAGTATTTTTAGTTTCTATTTGGTTGGAATTTTGAATTTTGCCCATTTAAGGACCACCACGTGCTCTCTAAAGTGTGCAACGTGCACACGGGACCCCCAAGATTTTTTCACCCTTATCCAAGAGGGCAAAGAGTGTTCAGCCTTACCTACCCTAAGACCACGGGTGTGGCTGAAAGACAGCAGTAGGAAGGAGTAGGGTAAGATTGAAGAATACTAGACCCGGGGACTGGGACTACTTTGCCTATGTCTCAACTTTAGGAATTCATGATTTTCCCCAGTTTTCAATACAGTGGAATATCCGTTATAGCAGGATTCTCGCTATAAGGGATCCAGTAATAAATTCAAAGGAAACTGTAAAGTAGGCCTAATCTATGAGTTTGGAGTTTGGTGTTCTGTTTGTTTCCTTTTGCTATCCCCCCTGATGCCCTGATGATAATTTTGTTTCAACATGACCTCTAGGTCTTACTTGATCAAAAATCGAATTAGGTTTCTTTCTCTAGCGATGTAGACTGACAGCTCGGCGTTGGCGATCAGAAAGAAAGGGCTCTGGGCTAACTCGCCCACTGTGGTTTTCCCCCACCGCACCCCACCCTGTGGTGCATTCCGTCTGCTTGCGCACATCACATATTCACTCCATCCATCACATTGCTGTGACCTCTCCATCCCCGCATCGGAGAAGTGAGAGGCATAGAAGGCCTTGATAATCTAAACTAGGCTTACGCTGGCCTATCACGCGATGCGTGCTGCTTGTCCCTCCCTACTCAGTCGTTCCGGCCTTCATTGTGACGCACATGGGCTCTCCTATTCTTTGATTCACTAGATCACCAACAAGTTTCTCAACTGGCAAGGTTTTGCATTATGTATAATTGGCCTATCCTAATGTACTGTGCACAGCAACTGCAATATTCCGCTATAAAGTATAATTGACTCGCATGTTTGTCTGATAGCGCTATAGCAGTATACATTTTATTTACAGATGTAGAGAGGAGAAAAAAACGGGGTTTTAGAATAGTGTCTTTATAACAGACTTCTCGTTTTTTCCGGACTCGTTATAAGTGGACTCCACTGTATCTCTCAATGGAGAATCTCGGACCCGTAGATCTATTCATTAACAATTTGTCAGGGGGAGACCCCCCTGACCCCCCCCCCCTTCCACCCCAACCACCCACCCCGCATTCCCGCGCAATTTGTAGGCCCCAATACGAGTGCTCCGGTATTCTTCAATCTTCCCAGAGTAGCAGTAGAAAGAGTCAGGAGCCCAGGAGGGGGGGCGGGGGCAACAGGGAAGGGAGGGGAGGAGGCAGGGGGGAGGGGGGCAGAAAGTGGAGACCTCAAACTTTATATAAGCCTCTTTAAATTTGTCAGAAGAACAGCCTTTCCCTGCCCTAGATATACTCTTGATCGTGTCTTCTCCTAGACCCTCTAGGAGGCTCTAGAGACCTGTTTCAATTTCAAATGCCAATGGCCAATGGTAGACAAAAAGAAAAAAAATCAGCTTTGTTACATTCACAATGCACAAAAATTTATTGCAGAGTGTCAAATCTGCTGGCCCAGCAGGCCAACTTATTCGGGCGCTTTTAAATTAAAGTTCAGAGAGAGCAGGGGAGAATCAGGGGAGGTGGGAAATGTGTTTGGACGTGTTTCCTGCAAACTCCATTCACCTGTCTGTGTGTGTCCTGTAGACTGTAGTGTATGGTCTAAGAAGTATTTTACCCAATACTGCAAGACAAAGCCTTCTATTTTTCTAGATGTGGCAGTTTCAATAAACTACTCTTTCCAATATTGGACATAATTACAGACCTACCAGCTACGAACAGCTTGTTTAGATTCTAGTAGATCATGGTCACGATATATTGCGTTTATAAACACTTGGTTCTTTCTTTTGACTGTAAACAAAGAAGAACGACAACTCTTATCAACAATATCAACATTAAATAAGGGACGCAATCCCCTGCATAGCGACGTGGTTCATTTTCCATTTCGTCTTTATATATTCTATTGTTATTACATTCTGACGTAGATGAGAAACATCCACAGAATTCTACACTAAGTGTAGAATTCTGTGGAAACATCTCTCTATAGATGCATTGTATATTATTATTATTACTATTGTTGTTTTTGTTATTATTGTTGCTGTTATTATAAACATTGTGATTATTGTTTTTGTTGCTGTTATTGTTATCATTGTTGTTACTATTATTAGGCCTGTTGAGGATATGCGCTATACAAATGCTATTTATTCTTCTTCTTTTTTTTCTTCTTATTCTTCTTCTTCCTCTTCCTCTTCCTCTTCTTCTCCTCCTCCTCCTCCTCCTC